AAATAAAATGGATTTATTTCCTTACTCCTACTCCTTACTTCAGCTTACTCCATGTATTGTAGACCAGCCTTAAGATATTTTGATACGCGCACCAACTTGGTCTGATACTAGCGATTCAGGAGTATCAGACCAGAGCGCACTAAAGTAATCCGCGAGCGTTTACATCGAGCGAATCAAGCGATTTGATACCGATATAGTATTTGGTACGCGTACCAAACGATCGGTGTAAACTAGCTCAATATGTTTTCTACTGTGTAATGTCCAGTAATGCCGCAAATCTGTACGCCACAATGCGGTTTACCCCTCGGGAAACACCTTTTATAATATTTAATGTAGAATAATAATAAATATAAAATATTTTCTTTTCTCTTTTCTGCGTTGCAAGATTATATTGCGATGGTCGTTCAGTGCGTCCGAATGCGATAAAGAAATTAATAAGATTCATAAAAATGTTATAAACAGAATTACGATAATCGAAATTGAATATACATGCACTTATTGTATAACATACAGGTACCGGCCCTTATTTATTTGTTAAAATGTATTTTCTTTTCTCGAATAGTACTAGCCATGCAATACGAATTTGCCGATTCGAATCGAAGTGTCATAAATCGTTTGTGGTCGGTGCATCGAGACGGACACTTTGCCGTTCATTTCGGGCATGGATTCCTTCGCATGTAGTAATACAAAAGGGAGAACCGAAGCTGAAACAAACGTACCTGATGATCGTCGTCGTGTCACGATCGGTCGAAGAAGCAAACGATGCACGCGGGCATGTCCTACTCGTCGCAGACGTGGCGCGAAAATTCCACTCGGGGATCTAATATTAACAGCGAGCTCTCGATTCCACGGATGTGCCAACGAGGTTGCCGGCGCGAAATGAAATTTGTCTCGGTGTGTCGATGGAGTTTCGATAACTCGATAAAAATCCGGCGGGCGGAAAAGCAATCGTTTCGCCGCGCAAGCCTCTCTTTCTCTCTTTCTCTTTCGCCTTGCCACCCTTTTCCTATCTCTCGTCCTCCCTCTCTCGTTTCCCCTTCTAATCTTGACTGCGAGGGTCAAAGGTTAGTCGGTCGAAGGTAGCAGCGAGGCGGCGGAATCGTCGAGGTGGCGAAACGAGTCGAAACGAGCGTTCGGAG